AGATGAGCGGGAGGTTACCAGTCTTTACTTTACCATCCCGATAGTCCAAAATATCTCCACGTCCTTGTAGATGACGAATTATTTTCTATCCTACAGACTCTTCTCCACGAGGGAATCGACGCAACCTTCTCGCTGCTCTATCGTTATTTTCGTAGAAAGGGTTTAGACGAACTACATTCCTTAGTTCCACTTGTTCTACCCTTCACAGCTAACACTCGACCTACCAATCACATTGTAGCGAACCACCCTTATTCCCTACCTATTCCATTGGTGAGATGCAAGTTCCACTCGAGCAGCCTCTTCCCACGCGCTGCTTGGATTAACCGACTCCCAAGAGGATGCTTCCCCAATCATTACAATCTTAACCTCTTCAAGTCAAGGGTAAACCGATATCTTCCACATATATCCCCATAATCTGTGCCTCTTAATCTATAACTGTCTACCTTGTGTGGCTCTTAGGCTTTGTACATAATTACCATCACTGTCGTATATATATATATATATATATATATATATATATATATATATATATATATATAAGCAAATATGTGGATATAGATCCGACAGTATGAAGAAAATATACAGAAAAAAAAATCTTAATATGCAATTATGCTATATTAATGTTAATATAAAGTCGACCTCGGACGTTTCGGTCTATTTAAGATCATCTTCATGGACATTTTCATTTAAACATAATTAACATTAGAACATATAAAAATTCAACACGAAAAGACGATGGACATAAGAGCACAACTAATCTAAACAGATAACTGAAATTTTTATATAAGATCAGCGTCCCGTTTAAATATGATCACGTCGTCGTCAAGTGGGCGATATTGTGAAAACGTATTCGAAGATGATTTCCAAATATCAAAATATTAAAAAAGTCGATTGAACTATTTTATATAAACAGTTCAAGAAATCCTTTCCGTTGATATAGGAATACGCAGAGATCAATAGGTTCTTATATGTTCAAGCTTCAAAAATTAAAAAATTGTGCTCTTATGTCCATCGTCTTTTCGTGTTAAATTTTTATAAGTTCTAATGTTAATTATGTTTAAATGAAAATGTCCATGAAGATGGTCTTAAATAGACCGAAACGTCCGACGTCGTCTTTATATTAACATTAATACAGCATAATTGCATATTAAGATTTTTTGTTTGTTTTTTCTGTATTTTTCTTCATATATATATATATATATATATATATATATATATATATATATATATATATACACGACAATATTAACCTGAACCTGAAAACTCGAATCAAGTTTTAAAGTCTCGTCAACACGAGATTTCATACGGATGTCATGCATGACACCAAACCCGTTCAGATATCTCTAAACTTTCAGCTGCATATAACAGCTTCCTCAGATCAATGGTTAAAAATGGCTTTCAGCGAGGGAAATCTGTGGATCTTGGCGAAGACCATCAATCTTATGGACTGGCGCTACTGAATCACAACGAACCGTAACATACTTTTGAACTGTACATTTTATTTAATTTATGCAAAAAAAATTCGCAATCACTTGCTGAAAATATTCGGACTTTGCTAACCAGACGTTTCTTTGTGACTGAATGGTTAGCAGCACATCAGATCAAACGATGGTCCTCTTTGGGGTCGCAGGTTCGATTCCTGTCGGAGAAACACATATTTTCTACGAACTTTCTTGGACATCCAGGCCGGTAAATGCATTGTTTAGACATAAAAAAATAGAGTATTTACTTAAATAAATTGTATCTATAAAAATAACGTATAAACAGAAAATATATTAAAATAATTGTCGGACATAATCCGTTTTATAGGTTTTCATTCATTACGTTAAGATATGTTTCGTGAGCAGATATAATCGATCGAGAAAAATCGTCGAAGGTGTTTGTTTGTAAACAGTAATTTGTACTTTGCTAATCAGACGCTTCTTTGTGGCTGAATGGTTAAAAGCACATCAGATCAAATAATGGTTTCCTTTGGGGTCGCAAGTTCGATTCCTGTCGTAGGAGCCCATTTTTTCCTTCGGAATTTCTCGAACATGTGAATGTAATAAAAAAACAAAACAAAAAAAACAGAGCATTTACTTAAATAACTTATATCTATAAAAATAACGTATAAACGGGATATATATATATATATATATATATATATATATATATATATATATATATATATATATATATATATATATATATATATATATATATATATATATAGAGAGAGATAGGTGTGAGTTTGTGACCCTGGGTTTCACGCTTTAGCGATCGTCAGACAAACGCTAAAGCGTGAAACCCAGGGTCACAAACTCACATCACTCCAACCAAATATGTTAGCTCTATCTCTGATATTGAGCGCTTTCTAATAAGTACCGCATATAATATATAAATAATTATACATATATATAGTTATTTATATTTATATACACTTTTCACACACACACACACACACACACACACACACACACACATACACACATATATATATATATATATATATATATCATAGTAGCATTAAAGATTTTACAAGCACAAGATCGTGCTATTTTTTTTTTTTTTTTGATGAATCTTTTGATGGAAATTTTTTTATCTTTTTTGTGATATTTGCAACTTCGAAACTGTTTTTTTTTTTTTACTTGGAGTTCTACATCAGCAAAAGAGGGCGAAGAAAAAAGGACAGGATTCCAACCTTTGAATAGAGTACTGAATACATTTGTGCAGTTAGAAAGATTAAAGCTGCTTATCACATACAATCAAATGAATAAAATATATGCTAGTAACAAATTCAGTAATGTGCTATCCCATTGGCCTTACAATGCAAAAATGCAACAATAACCACGGATTAGATGGAATTAGTAGGACATTTCAGTTAACTATAAATTTTAAAAATTTGCCATGAAGCTTAAACATTAAAAAGCTTGATTAAGTTGATAGAATATCCCAGAGTTTATTCATGTATATGACATATAGTTCCAATATGAGTGTGAACCGTAAGTTCTATGGTAAAAGTTCCTTTACTTGCACTTCTCGCTTTTGGAACTCCCTTCCTGCTTCTTGCTTTCGAGTCAAATTTTATCTTCGAAAACTTAAAAGCAATGTCAATAGGTATCTTCTGCCCTCTTAAATTATTTTCTTTTATTGTTATCGCTCCTTATTAACTTTTTTCTCATATTATTTCACACTCAGTAAAACACTGCGTGTTAGTGACTGTTACCTTGTGTTATATGCCGTACTTATGAACACTAATCTGTATATCCCAATTCTCATAATTACGTTGGACAATATTGTAAGTGGGAGCAATATGCTGCCTCAGCTGTCAGCGTGAGCTGTCAGCGTGGGAAACTCTTGCTATGTCAAACTCTGCCTTTCAGCAGAGAGGAACTCGGACGAGACTCTGCCCTTCATCATATCCTCGTCCGGGGAGGTAGACAGAGATCCGATCTTGCGTATGCGGAGTTTACGGGCCATTTTTGCCCTAGCCCACGGGCTCAGATTTCCCCACATTAAATTTGGCCTTGTGCCGCATTCTACCACGTGGTTAGGCAGGTAAATATAGTAATATGCTAAGTAGTCCACCACTAGGTGTGGTTTACCTACTTCACGCCGCTGGCGAGTATTGTATTTCGTTGATGTTATAAAGATTACCATTTCATTTCCAACTTCCGTTTTTGTTATTCCTCACTCAGTAACCTTTTCTAGGTTACAACACTTTACTTTGGGTCAGAGGATAATAAAATCCTAGAATGCTGAAGATAAAGAAGACACTTGATGCAAAAGAAATGTAGTTCTACAGAATGATGCAGTGAATACCATGGAGGAAGCATGTGAGTAACGAGGAAATTTTAAGGAAAATAGAAACAAAAAGGACACTAATATTTAAAATCAAAAAGAGCAACGAGGAAAGAAGCCTTGGAGAATTTGTTACTCACAGGGCAAACAGGAACCAAAAGAGACATAGTGAAACAGCGAATCACCAATCTAACAACCTTTTCCATATGGATGGCAGAACAGAGAGAGAGGGATAGATAGCAAAATGACAGACATTACTAAGCGCTACAAAGAATAGGAAGTTACGGAGAGCCATGATTGCCCACGACCTGACGGGGAACTGAACATAAAAGAAGTTTAAATCGCAAAATATGAAACACACAGAGAAATGTTTCTTAGACCAACCTCTTCTCAACAACATTTCTCCTGCAACTGGAATAGTACCATCAGTAACAAATTTAGACAATCAGCTTAATGACATATAGCGACGTTTGGAATTGGTAGACCCGAGAGACCTATAGATTTTGGGAGACAGGCTTTTATGAAGTTTACTTCTCCACATTTCCTAGGCCAAACTCTTCCCCACAACTTTTCTTCCGCATTGTTAGTGTTCATCTCTGCTTTATACTTGCAGACCTGATGGTATTAGGTTGGTGCAAAAATAATGACGTAATGATGTCGTTTTTTGACCTTAAAAAATATGTCCCAAAACGACATTATTACGTCGTTATTTTTGCACCAACCTAATACTAATTTCTCACCTTAGAATGGCAAATATGACATGGGCCTTTTTCGTGTAGGAAATCTTTACATGTCATGAAAGAGTAGCGAGAAATCACTCACTTGCATCGGCTTTTTTACCTATGATAATCAAGGTACAACCCTATCTTTTTCTCTGTAGTTTTGTGGTGATACTTGGGAGGTAGAATCCCATGAACCCGGTTTCTATATTCAACAACAAGAGTTGGGAGTTATTCTTGCCCGAATATCATAGTAACCCGCAATATGTCTGTAATTGAATTAAAATATACATGTGTACAAAAGCACGCGTAAGCATACAAACAATATGAATATAATACATACATACAATGTGAATGAAATTTAAATTTACTGTTGTGTCTCTTCTATGTTCCACGTCACTTAAGGACGTTGTCGATCATGGCTCTTCAAATAATGTCGTAGTAGAAATTATTATTGGCATTTTACATAGCGCCATTTTCGTATTTGGACACTGATGTCACGTAAGTCGAAGCCCCGAGAGACATGCGATCACATGCGCCCGCATGGCAGCCTCGTGCATCAAACAACTAGAATAGCAGTAACGGAAACAAAGTTAGGTAATCAGCTTAATGACAGAAAGCGACGTTAGTAATTGGTAGACCCGAGGGAGAGGCCAAAAGATTTGGGGAGACAGGATTTTACCAAGTTTACTTTCTCACATTTCCTAGGCCAACCTCTTCCCCACAACATTTCTCCCGCATTGTTAGTATTCATCTCTGCCCTATATTTGCAAGACTGATAATGGGTAGCAATTTTCTCACCTGAGGACGACAAATACATGAACCTTATTTTCGTGTAGGAAACCTTCACATATTGTCATGACAACGTAGCGAGAAAGGGCTCATATGCATCGTCGTTTTACCTGAGGTAATCAAGGTATATTCTTAACCCTATCTTTTTCACAGTAATGCTACCATCTAACCATGATGGTAACGCCTCCCTTCTTGATCTCTGTTTTACCTCCATCCCCGAGTCCCATCGTGCCACACAGCTCTGCCCTCTTGGCAGCTCTGATCATGCCATCGTGTCTGTTAACATCATATTCTACTCCTCTCCCAGTAAATGTTATGGAACGGTTTCACAGTGGAGGCTTGTATTTGTACTAAGTCGGTCCTAAAATAGGTTGACGTACAAAATGTTAGGAACTTGATATAATAGGTAATGACGCAGAAAAATCTAGTTGTGGTCGCTGATACTTTTAGTATCCGACTAACGGTCGTCCGGCATCGACTGACTGCCCGACCCACTGAGCGACCTCTCGTTACTCTTACTACTCTTACTTATTATAGGTGGGAGAGTCTATTAACTATAGAATAGGTGTGTTCCACTATAACAGTAAAGAACCTTCGAAGGGCAGAGTGTCGTCCGGGGAAGTAGACAGACCCGAATCCATTTATATGGGGTTTACGGGGAATTTTTGTCCGAGCCTAAAGAGTCAGATTGTCCCACATTAAATTCGGCCTTGTAACACATCTTACTCCGTGGGGAGGTTGGTAAATATTACTAGCTGGGATCTGTTGACTACGACTCAGACTTACGCGAGAACTACCGACCTTCCAATAGTAGCACTGACTACTAGATTGACTTATGACGAACTTGTGTATAACTGTTACCTTTATTCTTATTGTACTGTTTTTTTCTTTTGTTTTTGTTTTTTATTACAATAAACCTTTACTTATTTTATTGACCTTGTTTTTCAAGTATATATTTCTATTAGCATGGAATATAATAGCAGGACAAGACAGAAAGTTGTGGAGAGCATACGTGAAAGGATTTGGCACAAAAAACGAATGCTGTGTATTTTCGACTGGGCTGAATTTACAAGCAATAAATATTAACATACACAGAATTAATTTTCTTCAATACATTTTACAATTAATATTATCCTTTTTTATAATGTATTTTTGTGTCGGTATGGGGTAACGCGTACCATTAAATTAATACCCGGGATATCAACTTTTAGCTTTCAGGTTTAACAAATAGCTTTTAATAATTCTAAAATATTTACCCTAGCAACTAAGAACAAATTACACACACACACACACACACACACACACACACATATATATATATACATATGTGTGTGTGTGTGTGTGTGTGTGTGTGTGTGTGTAGGTATGTGTGTTTATCATCTCCTGAGGCATCGTAATTACTGACTACATATCAAGGTATTTATTGATCCCAGACTGACTAATCCAAATCCGATAAAAATGCTTTAATTTGTTTTTAGTTTCTTTCTATTGTCCTGCTTATCCGTAATTACGGATTAATGGCTTTTAGTTTGCTGATTACTGAAGTGAACTGTGAACTTCACATCTTAATTCTCTCCCTCTCTCTCTCTCTCGCTCCCTCACTCTCTCACACGCACACACGCTCTCTCTCTCTCTCTCTCGCTTGCTCCCTCTCTCTCGTTTGCTCATACACACATTCTCTCTCTCGCTTGCTCACTCTCCCCTCTCTCTTTCTCGCTTGCTCTCTCTCCTCTCTCTCCCTCTCTCTCTCTCTTAGTCTCACTTGTTCTCTTCCTCTCTCTCTCTCTCTCTCTCTCTTCTATGCTTGCTTACACTATAACTGGGGAAATTACAGCCGTTAATAAAAGTGGCAAAAAAAAAAATTAAATAAGCAAAAAAAAAAAAAAAATGACCAGGATTTGTTTTGATGAGATAGAGTGTCTCCTAGACCGGTGTCAGATAAAGAGGAAGAGTACAAAGAATATTTAAGTGGGTGGATTTTATGACTCTGATGATTGACTTAGCAAGACACAATCAAATTCTGCTTAGAGCGAGTTGAAACCGTTTCAAACCGGGCTTAGTATTTTGTATGCGTTATTGACGTTTATTGTTGTTGCTAAGGCGAGTCGGCAAAAAGCCACGGCCGAATTAAAGTGTATCAATTAAGCAGAATAAGTTAGCATTTGATTTATATGTGCACCAGTTAATTCCCATCCGCACACTTTACGATTAATAATATTCACCTGAAGTCCAGATAAAGAAGAGAAAATCGATTTTAAAGCCAAATCATATCTCGTCGAAATATTTGCAATGAGTGTTTACACAGTCAGTATTGATTTCAGTGCACACAATTTTAGCAGCTTTATTTTATTTACTCATTCATCTATTAATTTATTTTTGTCGTTGATTGATTGCTTTTTTATGGATTATCGACCTTTTGTAGTTTATGTAAAGCCAAAATAAATTTTAGGATTGTAGAAATATTATTTTTCTGTGAATGAACATTGTAACAGCAGTATTTTCTGTGTGATTCATTCGTATTATTTACATTATTCGGACTATTATCCTCATCTTTGTTGCCATATTTATCACAACGTTTCGGCCGTTGTACGATCCGGCCTTCTTCAGGTGGTTGGAATGTCGAACCTTTTATTTCGCTCGGTGGGGTAGACTGTTCTAGTTCCACGTACCATGTCTAATGGATATCAGTTATCAGTTATCTCCTGTTAATTCACCTCTCCAAGTTCTCCACTGCCTTAACCAGGTTTTGAACACACAGCTCTTTGGGTCCTGTCACTGGATTTAACCAACGCCTTTATCCACTGTGCCATGTGTCCTTAAGGTTAAAGCAGTGGAGAACTTGGAGAGGTGAATTAACAGGAGATAAATGATAACTGGCATCCATTAGACATGGCATGTAGAACTAGAACAGTTTACCCAAGCGAGCGAAATAAAGGGTTGAATTCGACATTCCGACCACCTGAAGAAGGGCGGGGCGTACAACGGCCGAAACGTTGTGATAAATATGTCATAAAAGATGAGGACAATAGTCCGAATATTGCAAATAGTGTACATAGTGTACCTCATGTCAGAAATATAGACAGATAATGATTCATTTATGTGTGACACTCATGCTTGTTATTCGATAAGATTGATGTTGAATCACGCTAAATCTGCATCATACCAAGAAAATAATATGATACAATAGGAAAGTTAACTGTATAAGCGTCAAGATTAAACAACTCATACTTCAAATTTGGGACGGGGGCATTTTACCACCGCCTACTTACCACCGGCCAGCCTGTGTTGGCTGCCATCATGTGCATATCTCTTAGATCATTACGGTGCTACAAAAGGTGGAAAGATAGCGAGATGCATTTTTCGAGTCGCCCCACTAAATTGAAAAAGTATATGAAGGCAGGTGAGAGAATTTGCAGATTGTTTCTTTTTTTCAAACAACGACCTCCAACTGAATAGTTGAGGGGAATTGCGTACATTTTAAATTAAAAATAAACTCATGTATTAAAAAAATGTTCCTTTATGAATTACTTTTATATAGTTTTAAAAGTTATGTTTTAGAAATGATCCTTAATAAATTACTTTTATTTGGTTTTAAAATGTCGATGAAAAATTTCATAGTTTGCATGTCGTTGAGTCGGCGGCATTGAGTCAGCATCCTTGAATTGGCGATGATGAGTCGTCCTTCAACCTACAAATTGGCAAAATCAATGAAGCTATAATGTTCGCTATTTTCGCCAAGCATTTTTTCTCAGTATTCAACACTATTTCACACAGCCACATGTGTAAAAATTCAGATATAAGTAAAAACGATGTCTATAAAAGGACAATGCGAATAAAGACAAAAGGAAAACTTATCCGACCCGTTTTTTCTTCTAATGGCACATGTAAGGTCGTTATTTTGCAACTAGTATTTATAAATAGAAATAAGAAGGTTATTTTTTTCAGAATTTTTAAACTTAAAAGCGCTAATAAATATATACAAAGTTAACTGATAGTCAAGGTAAATGATAATAGCTGATAAGTGATGTAATTTAATGTTAGTAAATGTCGTTGTTAGATTTTTTTTTTCTATAATGTAATTATTATTTATAACATTTTAGCTTGAGATTAATTTATATATTAAATATTTTAAACAAGAGAAAGTTTTTGAATTTAACTGTTTTCTTTAATGTTATAGTCATGTGCGTTGTCTTTATTGACACGCAAACACATAAACACACACATATAATAAATTTTTCTATATTTATAGGGTATGTCTGCTCAGTGTTGGAGATTGAGCATTTATAGATATAGAAAGGGAGGACATAGGAATCAATGATGCATGGTGACAGTTAATTTCAAGAAACAATTCCTCTTGGCCTAAGGATCGCATAGATAGATTCTTTCTTTTTATGTGCTGTGTCCTTTCAGGACGTAGATGATCATGGCTCTCCACTTCTCCCTATTCCTTGTGGCTCTCAATAAGTTTCAGCTCCCACTGACCAAGTTTTGCGATCCACAGATAGATAGATAGATAGATAGATAGATAGATAGATATGAACAGACTGAGATTAGATAGATAGATAGATAGATAGATAGATATAGATAGATAGATAGATAGATAGATGCACTGATGTCACGAAGCGAAGAAGATACCTAAATATTTTCTATCTGAATTTCTGGGATTATTATTTTTTACACACTTTACATTCGGAATATTCGTTTTAGACGCTGTGAACTCCGGCCTTCTTCAGGGGTTTCAGGGATATAATGATCCGTTTAACCTACA